TGGGTCAGCGGCTGGCACCAGTCTTAGCGATTGCCTACATGTCCAAATAGAACAACCGTTACTGGATCGCCGACCCATTTTGTACAAACGCTACATAGACGACTGCCTCATCGTCTGCACCACGGAGAAGGAAATGGACTCGTGCTTCAACCTCCTTAATAGCCAAGCTGAGAATATCCGGTTCACAAGCCTTCTAACAGTTGGCTCTCATTCCTCAACATGCAAATCCAGCTTGAGCGCTGGTTTTATCGGACCAACTGGCACCGAAAACCACCAGTAAGAGCATCTCAGTTCATTTCCGGAACATGTACAGGGCTTCTGAAATGGTCTCATCAGGTGAGGAGAAAAGAGAAGAGTCCCTGGAGTTAGCTCGGAATATAGCACTATCTAATGGCTATCCCCCTAAAAGGCAACGCCTCCCCTGGACCACCCACTAGGAGCCAACAAAGTCCTGTGACCGAGGGTTGGGAGAAGGTACCATTTTGCCTACCCTTCGTAAGTGATGCGATCAGCGCTGCTGTGAGATCGTCTTTGCGCAGGTGTGGTCTCGACAATATGGTTCGGCTGGTCGAGATCCCTCCTGCGAGCCTCAAGCAGCAGCTGATCCGCAACCGCGGGTATGATCGCTACTGCCCAACCCCACATTGTGTCACATGTCCTTCTGGGCGGGAGGGGGACTGCATGGCCTCAGGTGTGATCTACCTGATGTCATGCACGAGTTGTGGGGATGAGTACATCGGGGAGACAGGACGACCCTGTGCTCCAGGGTAAAGGAACGTATTCAGACGGTCTTTAGCGATCTGGGCCAGAGACCCCTCCTCTGGGTAGTCACCATGTACAATGCCATGGAGGTGTGGAGTTTGAGGTAACTGACAAAGTTTCTGTGCGAGAGCCCTGACCTCTGCGCGCAAAACTTTGGAAGCGTTTTTGATATGCGCTAAAAACCCCAAAATGAACAAGAAGGACGAATGCCTGCCATCACAAACGAGCTCGCCCCGTTTGCTGACCTGTGTGGGCTTCAATTGCCATCGGTTTCGAGTCGATGGGCTAGGCCATACAGTTCACACAGTCGCGATCGATGAGCCGAGTTCCAGAGCAATGGGCTGATCTCACCTGTGGCGTCCACTGGCTACCACTGGTTGTTGCCATTACATTGACCACTAGTCAATCACGATTGATAGAGCAAGGCAGGCGAAGCCGTCTCATCCGGCCCTCCTCACTCCGCCTCCGAGTGATTGCGATGTTACAAACATAGCGTCAACGCTGGTAGCCATTCCGCGGACTATGAAAAACTCGAGCAGGAGACCAATGCTGTGCTGAGCAAGAGTGGATCACTGCAGTCCGTATCCATACATGCATTTGATGTGGAATCTGGAGACAGAAGAAAACCGACGAGGCCACTGTGAGGCAGCCTTAATCGGAAAATTATCAACTCTTGGATGACGTGGTGTGTCTTACTCTGTGTCGTCTTCGCACTCTGCCAGCACTGTCGCACGCAAGCCACAAAATTGTAGCCTAACGTCCTACTTGTCTGCCCTTCTTCTGACTGTTCTCCACTACTAGGTGCGTGTTCGCTGCGGTATTTTGGTATGGAGACATGTGCCGCGCCATGAGGAGAGCCAGGGCAAAGTACGGAAAGCTCACTCAGGCAAAAGCACCTGTTCAGTCCCGCTCCTGTTTCACACTACTGCAGCTACCAACCCATTCATTCCGCACAGCGCAAGGACAAGTATCCACAGAGGAGATAGTAGTCTGTTCCTAGTACACCACGATCCGTGCTCAGATTTTTTCATTGCCATTAAAAAAAAGTTGCCTTCACATGCATTAC